CAACATTTTGACACTATGGACATCTAAACTACAAGAATATGTTGAGCTTAGGGATTTTCTAAATATAGCTAGTCAACCTATGTGCATTTTTGAAGACATTTTCTGAAGCTCTATTAATTGGGCTTTGGACTATCATTTGATTTGTTTTTAAAATACCTTCTCATTCAAAGGAGAATATTGCTTCATTTTTTTGAGGACAACTTACTTTGGATTTCTCTGGGAGCTTCTGTAGTCATTTTCAAAGTTCTGGTCTTCCTGTTCCATTCCTAAATGCAGGCCCAGAAAAAATAACTGACTTACTTCAGTATTATACAAAAGTATGAAACTCTAGGTAATTTCATGATATAACACAGAATATGGTATATTGGCCAAAATTTCCTTGTATATTCCACATTGTATGGGTGTTCACTGATGAGCAGGACGTACGTCATCATAGGGTGACCTCACTCTTACCTATGGAAGCCAGGTTCCTGAACGTCTCCTGCATTACATCTCTATAGAGGTCCTTTTGAGAAGGACTCAGCAGTGCCCACTCTTCCACACTGAACTTTACAGCCACGTCCTCAAAGGTCACAGAATCCTAAAACATGACACATATTTCCAAGAGAAGAGTAAGTCACAACATTGTTGATCTAAAGTCAGGTCGTAAGTCCCATGATGCTGGCAACCTCCACACAGAAATCCACACACTAGATGTGACAGCAATGGCCAAATTGGATCACCCACTATATTGCTAGGTAACCTATTAACTGCCGTATTGATTCTTTTTTAAAATATTTATTTGTGCTGGGTGGTAGTGGCACACACCTTTAATCCCAGCACTTGGAGGCAGAGACAGGTGAATCTCTGTAGTTCCAGGCCAATCGGGGCTACAGAACAAGTTCCAGGACAGCCAGGGCTACACAGAGAAACAAACAAAAACAAATAAACAAAAACCCTATTTCTCTGTTGGCTTACTCTGTGGATTGGGGTCCATATGCTAAGGTGTTTATATAAGGGTCTGGAAGCTGCTTATCTTTCCACAGTGTGTGAGTCAGCCCACTTGGAGGCTGGTACCTTCAGCCTCTGAGCCATCTCATCAGCCTTCTTAGAAATTCCTGAGAACCAACTCAAACCTTGTGCAGGATCTGGTGCCTGATACTGGAATGGACCGAATGAGCCTGGGCAGAGCAGCCTGCTACTCCAGCTCAGGCTAACAACACACTTTAGCTAATGCTTTCTCTCTAGATATTAGCAAGTTTTTGACATACCTATCAGAAGGAGCCTACCTGATGACAAAATACACTCTCCAGATGATGAATCCCTAAAAGTCTGCTCAGAAAGAGAATGCTTAACATTTCTTGAGGCAACTTTGAAGGAAATCAAGGGCATGCTCAGGGAAATAAGTTTAGTAAGTCTGTGTCTAATAGCTCAACTGTCAACCCTGTATTCAATACTAAAAAAGACTTGGGAACAAGCATTCTCTATGCAAATAGGAAAACACTCCAGCTTTTACTGGAAAATGTCAAAGCACCTAGGAAGTAATGAGAATATTGTTAGCAAGAGCTCACTGTTCCCCCCAAAATCATCTCTTACCTACATTTATAAAATATTTTCCAAAGCTGACCATTGGGAAATCAAAGCAAAACCTTTATCTAGTCAAACAAAGGAAAACCCTTTGGGCCTGGGGATGCATCTCAGTGAAGCACTTGTGTCATGTGTGAAGCTACGGATTTGAGCCTAAGGGAACTGTAGTGTATGAACTCTAGTATGTGTCTTTCCATCGGCATGTATTAGAGTGGACTTCTGCTCTACATTTATGATGATTTCCTTAAAAACAAAAAACCTTTCCCCTTTAAGTTGCATTTTTCAGGGTATTTTTTATCACAGCAATAGGAGAGGAAACTGGGATAGTCTCGGAGTCAGTTGAAAGTCCTAACTCACGGTGCCTTTTGCTAGTGTCACTTGTGAACAAAATGTCTAGTGTCTGCTGGACACTAGTCAACATTCAAATACTAACTAGGTGTACCACAATTCAATCCTGACTCAACCCAGTGTTAGCCAAATCCTGAAGGATTGAGGGCTCAGTACCAAAATATGTCTCTACTACAGATGCCAAGCCAAAGCGTCCATTTGTTCTTCTATGCCCCATTTATTTTTTCAGACATTGTAGATAGATGGCAGGGAATAACATCATTAGCATGAATTCAGATGTTATATGAAAGGAGACTATGGTAAATTATCAGATACTCCTACTGCTCCAGAAATCCTAAGGGTTTTACGTTCTCTATGGTTGAACAGAGATAAACACAACTCATTTTTAAATTTTATCATATACTTCATAAACCATCAAGCTCTAAAATACTTGCAGTGGCTTCTCAGAGGTCTCTCCCAGACTATCCCCCATAGACTTTCTAATTGTAGTGGAGGGAGTGGCATCTATTTATTTGTTTATCTGGACAGACAGGAAGCCTGTGGCAGAAGCATGGGTGGAGGTCAAAGTACAACTTGGAGTTGGTTCTTGTCTTCCACCATGTGGGTATCCAGGGACTGAACTCAGGTCATGAGGCTTGGTATCGTGTGTTCACCACAGCAGCCTTAAACTTCTGATCTTCCAGATTCCACCTCCAGAGTACTGGGATGACAGGTGTGCAGCCTCACACCCAGGGCTCCTATGTGGTACAGCTCATCCAACCCAGAGTTTCATACATGCTAGGCAAGTACTCTGCCAACTGAGTTACATCATCACAGACTCGCAGCTCCCACAAATTATATTCTAACTGGCCACCTCACTATATTTGAAATTAAACTGTTGTAGATGCTGAATACTACTTAAGTCTTATAATTCTTACAAACTCTCACCCTATTTCTATTTCTATTCCCAAGAAACAGCCTAGTACAACCAAATGCCCTGCCTCTTTAGATGATATCTCTTCTTCAAATCTAATACCAGGCCAGACACACACTTTCCAGATTACCAATATTTGCCTAAAAGTATGTCTAAAAATAGTTTAACTGATTAGATCACACCTTTGTGGAAGGAGTCAGAGGGTGAGACAGGTAAACAGACTGGACTAGAGAAATGTCTAATCCAGGTTTACCTTGTGACAACGCTCCTGTCTCAGATGACAAGCATGTCCCAACACACCAGGCTTGGGAACCTCCTTAACCAGACTTTCCTTAAAGCCTCTCCTTCTGAGACTAGGATTTTGACCCATGCTCTGCTGGAGCCAGCACACAGCTCCCGCTTTACTGATGGCCTGAGAATGGGCTGATCTCAAAGGATGACACTCTCTAGTCTAGGGTCTGATTTTTGCCTCCTTTTCTTGGTCTTTCCTAGAAAGTAAAGGCCTTAACTGCCTAATCCTTAACACATCAGGGATAAAGACCTCAAAGACTGCCATTTCAATACGTTCAGATAAAGTCAGCCCCTACCTCAGTCAGCATCTAAAAACCAAACCAAACCAATGTGTATGGGCTGGAAAGGGAACTCCAATGATTAAGAACTTTCTGCTCTTCCAGGACCAAAGTTCAGTTCTCAGTACCTGCATTCTTGTGTACACATGAAAAAAAAAAAACAAATATTTTACAGAAAACGAAGAGGAGGAAGAAGAGGAGGACAGAGGGGAACACAATATGTAGATATTTGTCATGTGAGCCTGTCAAAATACAAGTCATATCTCATTACCTTTCTCCTCAAAGGACAGAGGGGAACACAATATGTAGATAGAGCACTTAGAATAACAACTACAACTTCAGAAAAATAAACACTTCTCCCTTGAATTCCAAACTCTGGACATTGGTATATGAATCCTAGTTCTTCAATGTCTCATCACCAAGGGCTCCTCTTCCTGTGAGAAAGTACAGACAGCCCCCAGGATAGGGTCCCAAGAGGAAACAAAGGTCTTCCACGACTTTTCTTTGCTGATTCAATATTGCTCTTCACTTGAAGACAATGGGGACAAATTTCTAATCCCCTGTTAAGAACAGTCAGTTACTTATCTGTTTCTACCTTTATTTATCTATTGAATGTGTACAGGGCACATAGTGTGGAGACAGACATATGTCAGAGGACTTTGTGGGGGAAATCAATTCTCCTTCTAGCATGTGGAGTCCAGGGACTGAATTCATTGAGTCATCAATTCTTTCCTTCTATCATGTGGATCTCAGGGACTGAATTCACTGAGTCATCAAGCTCATCTTCAAGCACCTTAACCCACCTACCATCTCATTGGCCACTTTTTCTGTGTGTCAGAAAATGACCTTAGATGTTCACCTTCCACTTTGTTTTCGGTAAGGTCTCTGTTGATCACTGTGGTGCATGCCACATTAGCTGGCTCAACAGTTTCAGAGGATTCTCCTGTCTCCACCTCTCATCTCATCACGGGCACACTGGGATTACAGGTATGTACTATCACATCTGGTGTTACTATCACATCTGGAGTTCTGGGGATTCGAACTCAGGTCCTAACACTTGCATGGCTAGTGATTTACCCACAGAACCACTTCCTCAGCCCTAGGCAACTACTTTAAAGAGAGAAAATATCTAGTGTTTAAAGATTTCAGTAAGACTGAATCTCAGATTACACACACACACACACACACACACACACACACACACACACACGTGTGTGTGTGTGTGTGTGTGTAGACAATTTGTAACACAAACAGAAATTATTGCTTAACAAGTACCCATCCAGGTGTGGTAGCAAACTCTTATAACACTAGCACTCAAGAAGCAGAAACAGGACAACTGCCACAAGACGGAGGGCAAGTTGGTCCACAAATCAAATTCCATATGAGTCTTGGCTCCACAGAAAAACAACAAAGATGTCCATCATTTTAAAGACTTCTCATGGTTGTGTGTACTTGTAATACTAGTACGCTGGAGGCAAAGGCAGGAAGATCACAAGTCTGAGGCCATCCTGAGGCAGGCAAGCATAGGGTATAGTTTAGCAACCGGGACTCTCCGTGTACACACACTTGCTCTAATAATAAATATTATTAGATATATTATTAGATATATTATTAGAATATGGCAGCCTGAGCTCATTACCTGTACATACTCTACACATCTCATCAAACAATGTGCTGAACAACCTGCTAGCCTGGGACCCCTATCTACATGGAGATACACAGATACCTGCTTTAAATGATGGAAACAAGTCATGCCCTTCAGCAATCCTCAGTAGCCATTTCTATTCAAACACACCCTGGAATACATCCAAGAACTGTGGGTCCAATCTGGCCTGGACTGACTTTGGGTGCATGTGCAGTAAGGCAAATTGTGGCCTCTGGGTGAAGTTTTAGGGAGAATCCCCTACTTCCCATCTTCCTCCTATGCACAACTGGGTGTGCATACCATTGAAATAAGATGCACCATGAGAAGAGACATCTACAGTGGGCAAAGGCCCATTCCATCTAACCCTGTCAACCAAACCGGGATCTATCCTCACTATAGCCATTTGCAACCAAGCTCCTCCATCTCTTTAACTGTGTATAAGGAAGTCCCAAACTTTTTAAAAAAGATTTATTTATTATGGATACAGTGTTCTGCCTGTATGCATGCCAGCAGGCCAGAAAAGGGGACCATATCTCACTGTAGATGGTTGTCAGCCACCATGTGGTTGCTCGGAATTGAATTCAGGTCCTTTGGAAAAGCAGCCATTGCTCTTAACCACTGAGCCATCTCTCCAACCCCTGAAGTCCCAAACTTTTAAGTACTTTTTCATTCAGGTGGCTTGCTGTCCCTCTAGACAATATAATGAAATGGTTCTATGGTTTTGCTTAGAATAAAGTTACCTTACTACTTTTGTCAGCCTTTATTTCAAATCTTTGAGTAAAAGGCCTACAACCTACAAACACCTAATCTAGACCGTAACAATTGGTTAACAATTGGAATCCACTATAACCAGTGCTACACAGAGCGGTGGTTCTCAACTTTCCTAATGCTGCAACCCTTTAATACAGTTCCTGATGTTGTGATGACCACCAACCATAAAATTATTTTCATTGCTACTTTGTAACTGTAATTTTAGTGTTATGAATCATAATACCTGTGTTTTCTGATGATCTCCTGTGAAAGGGTCATTCAA